GTTGCAAGCTTTAAAAAATCCTAAACCCGATTCCGAATTGGTAGAAAACACCAAACAAATCTGGAAAAATAATATTCTTCTCGGATGGGTAAAAGCCCACATTGGTATTGAAGGCAACGAGGAGGCGGATCGAGTTGCTAAAAACGCCATCAGTCTCGGCAATGTTGACATTGAGGTCCCGAGCTCCACCGCCCAAGTCAAAACATTGGTCAAAGGCTATAATCTCATGCGTTGGAAACAGGAGTGGCGGGATTCCGAGAAAGGCAGACAAACGTATAAGTTTATTAAGGATCCTAATATTAGTAGACTTCAGGCGAATTTTTATTTTAATCAATTTCTTACGGGCCATGGAGTGTTCGGTGAGTATCAGAATAGATTTTTTAATAGAGCCCTTGATTGCAATTATTGTGGAGAAATTCAAAGCATTGATCATTTAATTTTATACTGTCCACGCTTCCGAACACTCCGTGGAGAACATTTTAAAAATTTCAATCAAATTCAATGTTTTGCTAATTCGACCTGCAGGGGTATTATTAAATGTATCATAAAAAAGACACTTGAAGATATTTTGGGTGGTGACACTTAAGGATTCGGAACCCCGCACTCCAAATTGGGTGTCTCAAGCTTTTTTATGTGCGTTTATTGTTAATTTGATTGGTTTTATACCTGTGTGACTTGGTTTTGAGTCATGTTTTTAACTGCTAGTTTTTTTTTCCCAATTTTTTCTTAATGTAATATTTCACTTTTACTTATTCCTTTTATATGATCGGTTTTATTCATGTTTGACTTGGTTTTGGGTCATATTTCAACTGTAAATTTTATTCCAGTTTGTTCCTTATGTAATCTTTTACTTTTATGCATTGCTTTTACCGCGCACGATATGGATGTTTTATTCACTTTTATGTATATATTGTTTTTACTCTTTTAATTATGATCTTTGCGATTTTCAATGTGTTGGATGGATTTGGGGTCATGTTTTTAACTGTTGTTCGCTTGTGTTTTATTCTTTTTCTTCTTGTTGTTGATATAATTTCTGATGTTTTGTGTAAGTTTTATGTATGTTGTATGTATCTACTCTCGCATGCCCTTAAATAGGGCAGGGCGAGATACAAATAAACAATAAAAAGCATAAAAACTTACAATATAAATGCTACGTTGAAATGATATTAAGGTTATAAATATATCGCAGGATTACTTAAAGAAATAATATATTTTATCTTTATTAATTAAATAAACTATATTTTTTATTAATATAAATTATAATAAATTATTAATTAATAAATTATTTCAAATAATTTGAAAGAAACTAATATAATAATTTTAATTAATTACACTCTTATATTTATAGCCACATCTAAATCCTCTTCTTTGAAAAAACTAGATCTGAAAATTTTGAACAACAGACAATCCTGAATTCTTTGATTTTGACGAAAAATGTTGTTAAATATCAATATTTTTTTAAAGAGCTTTTTGAAAATTTCTATATGTATTTCTCTCAGGTATTTTAAACAAATTTATTTCACAATATTTCAAAATACAACTCAATTGAATAGCTTAATCATAATAATTTCAGCAAAAAAATTGAGATCTGTGCTTTGAAATGGTATTTTTACTGACATCAGTAGCTGTCAAAAAGTATTCCTTACTTGGTCCTAATAGCATCGAAATTTCCACATTATTCGTGCGCTCAACAATAACTGCGCTTTAAGACATCAAAGGGATCACAGAAAAAGAACTTTTTTCAAAGACAAACTTATCCAAATATATTACTTCCTCGAGTGGAATTCTAAGATAAAAATCAAGAAATTTTAAATTCATAATCGGATTGAAAAGCTTTCCTTTTACAAGTAAAGAGAGAGAGCAATGCTAAAAGCACTTTTGAAATGAGCTTATCTAAAAATAGGTCACTGAATTGATTAGAATATTTAATCTTTCTAAGGTGTCCGGGATCTTTTTTTTTTATCAGAAAGAACAACACGGAAAATCTCTTTATCAAAATTTTCTACAACCTATGATGGTTAAAGAAGCGGAAAAGTTTTCTTTGAATATTTTCAGGCTAATAAATGATGAGTTTAGAATTTCATGTGATTTCCCCCAAACAAGGCCCTTTTTTTCCATAAAAAAATAAATAGATTGTAAGTGTTTAAATCATGGGAACAAAAGCAGGATAGTATAGGTGTAGAATCTATTTCTTAAAATAACTTTCAAGAAAGTTGAAGTTACAAAGCTGAAAGAGTATTTCTAAGAACTTTTAAATAATGTGGCAATTTTCATATATTACCTTGGCGGCAAGAAAAATTATAATATTTTTAGTTCAATATTTCTGTGCTCTTAGTTTGATTGAGAGTACCTTTAGTTACATCAAAAAAGATAACGTTAAATATGACGGATCACGAATTCCTCCGTTTTCACATAACAAATTATACCTCTGTTGGTACTGAATCGAAGATTGATCGTTGGTTCAGGTCAAAATTAAGGTCAAGCCTTGAGCATGTACCTAGGTAATACAAAACCCTTAACCATCAAGCCCAGGAGTTGGCCACTAGTCCAGCTCCACCCCAGCCAAGGAACGGGCCCAGTCAGCGGTATTTATTTTGAAATTTATACTCTTGCACTGTAAGATAATTGTCTGGAATATTTTGGTTAAGTGTGTTTATTGGTGATCTTTCTCTCAAGAAATAAGTAAATAAATATAATAAAGCCATAGTTTAAGAACCTTTAACTCGAAACAAAACTATTATTTTAATCTACATCAACCATATTGTCGCAAAGAATTTTTATGGACTCTGACTATGCAGCGAAGGCGATTTCAAACATTAAAAATTTGATCATTAAAGTTTCTTATTTTCTTAAAATTTGTGGGTCTTATTCATATTGTTATTTTGTCATCTTTTCAGGATTATCATAGAACTCTGCCAAAAGATAGGCTAAATGTAATCTAACAGTCATGAATAAATCTTAGGATTTTATAATATAAGAATGGCATATTGTTGTCTAGAAAGCATTATTTTATACGATGAAGGAGTCTACAAAAACAGCTTTAAAATGTTTTTCGACGACCCTGATGTTAAATGGAGTAACGCTTTTTAAGGCTAATTGCAAAAGTTGAGAAGTATTCCTTGATTTAATAATTTTTATTCAGTTAAATTTTTTTATATAAAATCTTGAAGCTATTAAAAAAATAATAAACTTCTTAAATGTCGCAAATTTGGCATGGTTTTTTCATTAAGATAAAAATCGCTAAAATCAATGAATGATTTTCCATTTTTGAAAATCATGAGCCCAGAAAAGCAATTGAAATAACATTTTATAAATTTAAAAAAAAAAAGAAAAAAAAACGACAATCAATTTTACTTTCTCCAAAACTGTCACGTTCCATTATATTAACGTTTTGGGATCTT